ACAAAACTATAATAGCTAAATAATTTTCATCAAATCTTTCTTTAATCGATGTAATAATAGTATCTAAAACGGCATAAAATGAATTATCACGATATCGATCTTCAATGGTTAAATTCGCGTTTTTTGTAAATCTTCAAAAACTTGATGTCGTTTGGGTGATGCTTCAATAAAATTATAGAGTGATTTCACAACACCAAAACAATTACGAACATCTACAACAGCTTCGGATACATCCACTAAGCATAAATTTAGAACCCAATAAATCTTTCAAACCCAATAAATCGTTCATAAATGTTGAATTGATCATCAGTATAACGAATAACTAAAGAAACTTGTTCATGACGTGATATGTCTGAAGTTTCATCAATCATAATTGAATAATATGTGGAAGTTTTAATTTCAAGTACAATTTGTGATAAAATATGTTGTTGTATTATGGATAATATCTCGTTTTGAATAGAATGATGTGTGTATTTTAATGAATTTAACTTTTTTTTAATTAATTCATTTTCGACACTTCGAAATTCTAATAATTCAAGAAGATTACCTAAAATAGAAAGAGTATGATGTATGTGAAATGGTAGATATAAAGATAATCCAATGTTTTTCTTTAATTGTTGTTCTAGAGTAACATCTATTCTTTAACAATTTACCTTTATTGATAGAGTCATCGGTTTCTCGATGTCCTCTAAATGGTAAACCTTGTTTAGCAAGAAAAACAATTGTTCGAATTATCTCTTTGAGATAATTTCGATTTTCCGATGTTTTTTTTTTTATGTTTAATGTCCATTAATTTGACCACATCCATATTCTCTTTATGATTTTTAACAGCATTAACGTATGAATCATAAGCATGCTTATGAGCGGAACTTGCTTGATGTTTATCAAATTTTTTAATAGTCATTGACCAATTCTGGAAGCCATTTTTTGTAAAAGCATCCTCACAATATCCATGTGAATAAGCAAGTCGACAAACAAAACAGTATGCCTTTTTAGTCATCTCGCTAAATTCAAGCCAACTGTAAACTTTATACCAATTAGGACAAAAATGACGATGGTTAATGGTTGGAAACATAGTAATCGGTTGATATGGACCTAATAACAAAAATTCTCGAGCTGCTCCTGGACCTCGACCAGGATCTCGTTTAAATGGATTAAGTTGAGAACAGTCAGAGAATGGTTCACGATTGATTTCTGTTGTTGTAGTTGTTGTGAGTCTGTTTTCGATATCTGAATTTCCACTATCTTGACTTTGAGACTCAAAACAGGGAAAGATCGATAAAGATGATGTTGTTAATGCATTGCCATCGATTTCATTCAATACTGTTATTTCATTCGTATCAACGACGTCTTTATCCATCGTTGTAATACTATGTGTAGTACATGTTTCATTTGAGGATGTTGATTTGGCCACAAAGTAATAATGAAGTTTGCTTTTATCAGACATTTTGATACAATATTTTTGAAATTAAATTAAATTAAATTCTACCAATTATAATCTGACTTTAATTCATTTCAAGAGAATAGATAAAGATCATCCAACTATCGAATGATCAATTTAAGAAGGAAGATATTGTTATATGCAACAATTGCACTACTTCAAAAAAATCAGTTCTACGATAAAGGTCATTTTTCCGATTTTTTAGACCGTTGCAGTATTTCAGATTTTTCTANGGAGTAAATTGGCTAAAACATCAACTGTGTTCACTTTTAGGTCACCTTGGGCTCGTATTTGACCTCTAAAGGGTTGAGCCAATGATACGTAGGATTTGTTTAGTCAGAATATTGTAGAGTTTTTCAAGAGCTATTTTTCTATATCAAGCTTTACCGTAACTTTATATCAGATTTTGAGCAAAAGCGTTTTTATTAAATACCGATATGCTTTATGTACCTCCTCAGAAAAGTTATTTTAAGAAGTTTCGATAATGTTATAATGGTTGGTATACAGTTCGAAATGTGTAAAATCGTTTTCTCTACAATATGTGATCATAACGAAGTCGAAAAAGCAGTGGGCCAAATGCAGTGGAAAAGCGCGCCCCCTCCTTTGTCTCAGTGTCAACTTTTGCTAATAAGTTTTTTTGTCAAATCTTCCATAGATTTTCACGCTTTGATCCACTGAGTTTAAAGGATTATTTCCTGGTCTGAAAGGGTTTTCTATCCGGTTGCAATATAATAAAGATTTTCACGAAAAAATACCAGTTTCTTTTACAATTTGCTTTTTTATAAATAGAAATGCTTGGACAGTGAAGCATGGTCGAGATGCTCGATTGTGCACTATGCTCGAATATAAAACTATTCCAACCGAAATTGTCAACGGAGTATCATGCAGAGCTCATCAGAAAGCGACGAAAATATGGCCAATATCATTTTGCAATTGTTGCGATTTTTTGAATATACAATTGTCTCTTATGGCATGTACGGGATATAACG